ATGATATATTGATCATAACCTCTAATAGAAGATTAAATGGAAAAAACATATAGAACATATTGTCCTATTCACTTAAAGAAAATAGAAACAAACTTTAAAATGACTTTCTTCTTATAAGTGTAAAAGCAAAATCAAAGACAAAAAATAGAAATGTTTATTTCACCAGGGTTACCCCTACAACTGCAATGGAAACACTCTTCGCATCATGGGAGTCATGTGATCAACAACCGGCTGTTTCTACTGGCGAAAAAGATGACGATGAAGATAACAGGAAGTAGAAATAGTAGTAATATCACAGAAGTAGTATAAAATGGTAAACTCACTAAGTACAATTTCCCAGAACACAGCATACGTAGCCACTCCCAAGTAGGGACTTGTCTCTGGAAAGCCTCGATAAAAGACGCCGACGTCTCCTCTGATGATGAGTGCTAGTGTCGCGGTAGCAACATGCTATGTATTTACATCCATCGCTGTCATGTTTATGACTTATGCTACGTTCACACCGAACTCGTTTTGAGCTGCAGAAGTGGCCGGTTTACATGCAAAGTCTGTGGAGGACACGCCTCTAGGGGTCATACGTTGCGTCACGTACGTTTTGGGCAGCGCGCAAGATGGCGGAAGCATTTTCCATGCATGCAGTGCTGCGGAAGCCTCCGCCGCCCGAGCCACCACCAGAGTTCAAATAGCTGAACTTTTCGCCGTTCAACACGTCTCCCACTGAAAACCGAAACAGACGGACTGGAGATCTTTACCTGAAATCGACCGTGTGCAGTTGGATTTTCTGGCAGGATATGTCAGCACCGATGTGGATCAGCTGTTCGGGACAAAAAAAAAGTTTGTGAGCTGGCAGCTTCTGGAGTGACGAAACTAACCAAACAAATCACTTCTAAATCATCTAGTGAGTTAATTATCTGCTGTGCGCAACGTTCACTTGCTTTTTAGTAAATATATCAAAGCCATTTTCTTTTATTTTATTTTATCGTTATTCACCCGCCAAGGTGACATTCCTCCCACACCCAGCTGCAGCCGCTGTTGCTGCTTCTCGTTCTGGTCTGAACACCAGTGCGTTCTTTGGTCTGAACATAGTGCGTCCAACTTGAGGCGTTTTGCGCTTTTTGGCCGCTCAAAATGCATTCGGTGTGAACGTAGCATTACCATGAGAACAAACGTATTCACGCGTGACTTTAATGGCATTTCTTACTTAAAGGAAACACTGCAGTTGCGAAACTGTTTTCGACATTAACAGAATATCGACAAAGTTTTGCGCACGTTTACAATGGAAACACAGCTACTGAGGTCCTCCATCCACATGACAGAGGGGAATACAAAAATGACTCAGCCTGCAACTGAAAATATGGATGGAGGACCTCAGTTTAGCTTGTTTGTCAAGCTAGCGCTGAGCCAATATGTAAAAGGCAATATATTGTCAGCGCTAGCATGAAGGCTAAAAGGCTAAGCTGAGGTTCTTCTTCCATAAAGCAGCTCTGTTGTCCTCCATCCATATTTTCAGTTCCAGGCTGAGTCATTTCTACCTTCTCCTCTCTGTCAACGCTCTCTGGTTTCATTTAA